TGACAGTATAACACCTTCACCTTTAGCTTGTTGTTAGTCTGCATGTGACCTCAAATTTTCATCATCACATTTTTCATCCCCATGAAAAATCATTTACAGCGCACTAACCACCCCTCAGCACTGATGTCATCACATGCTTCAAGTTAGATGGGAAACGATGCTTTATTTGCAGAGGAACAAGTACATTGGAATGTTTTTTCCTGCATAACCCATTTGTTCTTCTTCGAGATATGCATATATAAGGATGAGAGCAATGCTTGGGGTCTAAGTACAGGGTCAGGCCATTTTTGCGGCATCCCTGGAGCAGGATGACCTGCCTGTAATGGTGTGGGTCATAGATTCTCCACCTCTAGGCTGAATAAAGGGTAACAATTTACATTAACTGTACCTTCGTAATGCCTTAATAATGCATTCATAGAACATTCATAAGCAACATGTCAGTTTACCTTAACATCCTATCATGTCTTAATAGCTGCAATATGCATTAATAACAAACATTTTACAATTATAAGATTATAATGTTTGTTATTATCATATAATGTTTGTTATTAATGTATATTAGAGCTGAATGTTAGATGCACTGTATGTTCTATGAATGCCTTATGAAGATGCAATTAATGCAAAGCGTTACCAAATAAAGTGTCTCTTCAGGATTTGGAAAATCAGAACAAAGAGGCAAACTGGGAATGCGTGATAAACCATTGATGGATTACCTCCATACTGTACAATGCTGCATCTCCAGCTTATTCACCTCCCTGCCAAACACTTCATGGGCTCTTCTCCAGGGACATTGGGGGGCATGGATACCCTGACAGATTCAGGGGGGGAGCACTTGACAGGGGTCCTTGAAAAGGTAAAATTATGTATAAAATTTGGTCAGGGGGTCCAGAATTTCTAGGTACTTCTATTTCTAGGTATTTCTATTTCTAGGNGAAACTGAAGTAAAAATAAGTAAAACAGAAAATATTATATAGTATCATCCGCAAAAAAATTAGAAATTACTTCTCAGCCCTAGGGCCATGCTTCTTTTAAAAGGTGTACTTCATTGAAATTGCTTCAGCAAAGTAACATTTAGTTTCAGCTGCATCAAACTGCATTCCATGGGAATCGATTACAGTGCCCCAGGCCTCCTGTTCAATACACTGTTTACTGTAGAGTGATTTAAGGGAACTGGAAGAATATGTCTGGCAGGAGCAAGAGCATGAACATCCTATGAAGCCAATACCGTACTGTGCACAACTCCTAGACTGTCAAAGGAATTTATGTTAAAACTATGATTCTATGTCTGTCAACGTGTAAGCTTAGCCATTTAAAAACCGCTGCAAAAGTTGCTCCAGTATTTACACTTACCATTTAATATACCCATGTATTTGTTCAATTTCCACTAGCAGAGGTGTCAAACTGCAGTCCTGGGGGGCCGCAGCCCTGTGTAGCTTAGTTCTTTCCCTGTTCCACCACAAATTATTCAGCTGAACAGCTATGTGGTAATTAGCACAAGAAGTTGGTGTGTGAGTGAATGATGTGTGAGTGATGGTGTATGAGTGAATGGTGTGTGAGTGAATGGTATGTGAGTGAATGGTGTATGAGTGAATGGTGTATGAGTGAATGGTGTGTGAGTGAATGATGTGTGAGTGATGGTGTATGAGTGAATGGTGTGTGAGTGATGGTGTATGAGTGAATGGTGTGTGAGTGAATGGTGTATGAGTGAATGGTATGCGAGTGTGCTCTGCCATTGGTTAGCACCTGATGCGGGATTATTCCCTGCCTTGCGCTCATAGCCTGAGTAGACCCTGCATAGGACAAGCAGTATAGAAGATGAATGAATGAATGAAGTGAGCTGGAGTGACATTTAGGGAATACATTTGGAGTGGCAGCCTCTGGGAAGTGTTATGGGAACCTAAGTTGTGTTCTTCTAGCCATCCATCAAGATATTAGTAACTTTTTGGAGAAAAGAAGAAATTTGTTGATTTTATTATTGCTTATTTCAGTATATTCTAATGCTGAATGGTGTTTTCGGAGCAAACATACACTTACCCTTGCCAGGAAATACCTCAAGGACTGGGAGCCCAGCAACAATATTAGCCCACCTCTTTACAGATGAGCAGATTGTTTAGATTTTATTATTCTTTGACATGTTTTAAAGAATAATGATGAGCTCATTTTTATTGATCTTTTAAAAAAAAATAATATAAGCCAGGCTTCAGTAAAGACACAGATGGCATGAAGACCACCGCTGCTAGGGGTGTAACCCTAACTGTAACCGAGTCAGTCTATCAAGAATAATTTAGGGCAGTACCATTTGCTGTGGGATTCAGAGATGGGATCTTGGTTTAGGGTTAATTTCTCTCCATTTCATTATGCCAGTAGGGCCATGGTGACCCAGGAGTTATTCAGTTTAAATTCATTAATCATCTTGATCAGTGGTCGTCAACCAGCTGATCACAATCTTTCAACTGGTTGATCTTTCAGGCATTCCTAGTTGCTTGCAACAATCAGAGCATCATCTTCACACTGTTGCAGCAATTAACATGTTTAATTGCTGCATTGTTTTACTAACCTTATTAGCACACAGAGGTAGTGATGGAAAGGACACCAGGGGGTCAAAACCTAATCACGACTGAAACTTTGGGGGCGACCGAGACCAAGTCAGGACCAAGATAAGTCCAAGTCAAGTCCATTTTTGACAGCATGGTTTTAATTGTGCTTAATTAAAATTTTATTATTTATACAAAACAGTCTCAAGCAATGTTAAATACCAAACGCTATATCACTGCTAACCATATCTAATTTATATTGCCTGTTTATTTGAAATGTAAAACAACATTACTAGCATACCAGTCCCATAATATAGGGAACAGGTGCCAACTCTATTCAGAACAGAAGAGTTTTCTCCCTATTTCATTTTGTTTTAAACCCATCAGGACAGAAATGATTTGTATGTCTGAGTATAAGTAAAACTAGTCGGCCTGGTGTTGCATTCTGTGACCGTCTTTTAAAAAGTAAATGAAATGAATCGGTGTACAATGAAGGTGAATAATATATATATTATTATTTTTATGAATTGTTTCTTTATTAATGCGTATATTATGGGAGGAGTAGAAGAAAGTGTATCACTGTGGTAGAAAATCTTTGGTCTTGCGTCTCGCTCTAAAATTATGAGTCTGTACCATAGACACTGTAATCCAAGATCGATTCAAGACCAAGTAGAAATACTTTCAGATCTGAGACAAGACTGAAGTGAAAACGTGGTGTCAAGAGCCAGACTGAGCTTGAGTACTACAACACTGCATACAGTAGGTGTTGCATTAGTACATGTGGTCACTGACGCATTGACGGCTAGGAAGCCACAGGCAGTGTGTGTGTTTCATTTATGCTGCATTCCGTTTACCTTGGAGGTCAGAAGTTGGAGCTGGGAATGATGTCACGCCTGAGTTAACCGCGTTCCAGTACAAGTCGGAAAGCCATTTAGCGATATAGGGACCTGTTTCAAAAAGCCGGATTTCTTGCTCAGTCGGACAACTTGTTGGATGTAAGGTACCCAAGTTTAAATGCTCTTTCTCTTCGTTCACTCACAATTAACCCAGACCTCCTTAAATCCGACCAGTTATACGGCTCAGCAAGAAACCCTGCTATCTGAAACAGGCCCCAGTTCTAGTCAGGTTCATTATTAGCCATTGTTAGCAATATCAGTTGATGATAATAATGCATTACGCTGTATTTTGCACATACAAACATCATAGCCACATGTCCATAGATAGCGGCCGGACGGTACTGTGTGTATCACTGTTTTAATGAAACAAAAATAAGACATGCATTCTAATAAACAGTATATAACTATGCCCGCAGCCATCTTGAATTCTGAGGTCAGTGTCGCAAAGGTACCTGTGACTTTCCGAGTCAAAATTCTGACGTCAGTTCTGATTTAAATTTCCAAGTAGGAGCTTGGGATTTCCGACTTCTCAGTTCAAGTCGAATGCAGCATTATTTAAAGGCTTGGATGATGAGCGCCGCACTGCAGAATGGATGTGAAAGGATTCAAAATGTAACCTCCTGTCACCACCCCAACCTCCAGCCCTTCCACTTTTACTGTCCCCAGATTTTATTTATTTTTAGAGGTAGTCCGCACTACAAAAAAAAAAAGTTGTGGAGACCCCTGATCTAGACACATGATTTTGTTTATATAACATAGCAATTTACAGGTTGTATATTTCATGGGCAAACATGTATTATTGTCTCCTGAATATGACCAATCACTCATGTAACAGAAAATAATTGACAGGTGTCAGGTAATCTACCGTAACTCCCTATGTTCAGTGCATTAACAATTTAATGTTTCACATATGGGTATAGATGAAATTTGGAACTTTGAAAGAATTTTACATAGATAGGAATAAGTCTGTGTAGTTTTCTCTCCAGAGCCACAGGTCGTGCTAGGAAGGCCTTATTACTCGATGAGACTTTGTATCTCATTTGTATATTTAAAATTCACACCAAAAAAGTTTCCAAAATTTGTTATTTGGTAATATAAATTAGCTGACATCTGACATTGTGACAAATCTGTGTAGCAATGTTTCAGTATGATACAAATTATATTTAACAATATTGGCATAAAAGACATTATAGGTTACTACTGCCACAAAATTTGTATAGCAGTCTCCTTATTGTAGACATGGCCACAGACTCATAAACGATGAGTATCTGAAGGCCCCTCAATTGACTTTAGTATCTACTGTGCATTCCTTGTACAACTATGGCAGGTGCTATAACTTACAGGATATCAGAGAATTTAGAGTTTGGGTACCTATTCAAAAGTCAAGGAAATGGGTGGAAAGGGTCAGTTTCTTTTATGCTATAGCCTCCAGGTTCTCCATACATTCAACAGAATGTTTGTTCCAACAGTGTGCCAAAATATAGATTTTAAACGCAACTCATGCCTTCACATTATCTACTGAATGTCCTATAGTGAAAATGTTTAGTGTCACATACATCAAGAGCAGGGATTTGAGACTTAAATTAGGTTTTATTTTAAAAATACATTTGATAATTTAGTTCAGTAATATGTACACATACAAAATTATGGTACACAAACAAGTATTAAGGCACAAAACCCAGCTACCAAGTCTGTGCTCTAGATGGAATGTAGCATCTAGAACAGCCTACTATTCTCATTTATGGCTTTTATGAGGACCCACACACACATTAATGTATTCAACACATTTTTAGAGACACTGAAAATTCAGTCCACTTGTGTGCAGTACTGAATTTTCAGTCCAAAATTATATATACCCTGTCTAATGACAAACACTACACAGTAGTTACGTTACAAAATGCTGCCTGTACAACAATGGAAATAAGGCTACAACTGAAACAGGTTAAAGGCAGAATTAAAGTGAAGTACAAGTAGGACAGATCCTGTTGCATCCACTAAGACGATGTTGCCTGGGAATACTACATAATATTACCAAGTCATCAAGCTTCTTAATGAAGAGATAACTGCAGCTTAACGAGATTATGCCGGAGATAGTGGTGAATCATTTATCAGCCTGGCTGAAAATGTAAAATGAACTCACTGGATCTGAAAACCCAGGATTCCACTCACATGTCATATGAACTGATAAAAGATGTGCTCAACAGATAAAACTCGCAGCCTTATAGCTAATAAAACTTGCATTAAGTCGAAATCCTAAAAAAAAAATCATTCAGTTCTTCTCCGTCCAAAGACAGCAGACACAGTCCTGACGATGCCCTTGATCCCATGCGTCTCCTTTTTAATGGCGCGCGCCTCGCGGATCAGATCCAGCAGTTCGTGGAAGACCAGCAGAGCGCCGTGGTACGTCTCGGCGGCGGAGATCTCAAAAAAGCCACACCCCAAGGAAAGGGCGAGCAGTCTACCCTCTTCGCTGGAAACCGTGCGCCGATGCTGCAGGTCGCGCTTGTTGCCGACGATTATTACAGGCACGCTCCCTGGTATCTTACTCTTGCAGTGCCTGATGTGTTGCAGCTGCTGGCGCACCACATTGAAGCTTGAACGATCACAAATGCTGTAGACCAAAATGAAACCATCCGCCCATTGGAGCTGCTTCTCGGTGATGCGTCCAGATGCCCCCGGGCTCTGAATCAGAGAAGGTTACTGTTGTGATCAGGTTATTGATACACTAACATGCAAGCAATGAATAAGAATTTACGGCCAAGTGTAGAATACAAGTGTTAATTAGCCCACTAAACACCGGGAAACGTGTTTAATAATTCAATGTTTATTTTTCCACAACTGAAAAAAAAATATTCCAAAGAATCCACACCTTACCCGAGCATATATCGAATCCCAGATATTGAAAGAAATGTCCCGGCCATCAATTCTGTCACTATGATAGTAGATCCAATCTGAGGATTGCGAAAGAACAACACTGAACTTAGTGTCAACAGTACTTAAAGTGACTGATTCCAACTTAACCATTTGAAATACTTACCTATATCGCCATATTCACCGATGAACCTTCTGGTGATAAATCGCACCGTTAGCGCTGAAAACAGGAGAACTCAGATTATATTTTCATTAAGGCCTGGAAGTTATCTTAACTTTGGATAACGTTAGCAATAAATGCACGTCACTACACGTCAACTCTGGTTTTATTATGGAAATGATGGTGCGAGGACAAAAGAACGCCATCTGCGTTTCAAAAAGTAGCTCAACAACTTAATTCATACACAAAAATAATGAATAGTAAGAGGCGTCTGTACTTACCAGTTTTCCCAACATTTTCTGCTCCAACTAATAAAATGTTGACGTCCACTTTTTGTTGGCTTGTGTCCATTACTTTCCCGTTATAGTGAGAACGGCAATTAACCTCAGCAAACATTTGCAGCTCACCGTTGCTACACATAGTTCACTCTAGATGGAGTGGCTGACTCGCAGTGGCTTATTTATAGAGGATGGGCGGACTTTGCTTCGGGGGAAGCTCAGGTGATCCAACTGGATGAATTACATTTTATAAAGTAAATAACACGCCAGTTTAACTTTAAGGCAGAGTCTCTTCAGTGAGACTGAATGGCCGAGACTTCTTTCATAATGGGTAATAAATGAACGGTACACGCCAGATTATTGTAACTTCATAAAGCACAACAGCGACTTGAAGTAGCACTCAAGTTTCAACATTTTTTAAACGATTATACCTTTTATACGCTGTTTAAAGAAGCGATAGGAATTATACCCTATAAAATAAACAATATATTTTCCCCTGAACCTTTTGAATAACATTGTAAGTATGTTACAGGTCGAACTACTGTACATAATTACAAAGAATTTTATGCCAACTTATAAGCAATTGGTCTGGCACGAAATCATTCCTAAATAAAAGGGACTGTTTGAACGAATTAGCGCCCTCCTGTGTTTAAATACCTAATAACAGGGAAATATATATATATATTCGTGTACTAGCCCGTTATTTTACGAACACTTGTTTATGACCCTCTAAAATCTATTTTGTTCCATCTGAATAATGTTAAATTGTAAATTTTATATCTGGCGGCAAATAACCATGGGATTTAAATTGTACTGTTAAATGCATGGTTGAGTCCATAGTGATTCATTTTAAACACATTTTCGCGTTAACGTTTAGCATCTGTAGTCAGATCTGTTACACTGCATGAATCTGCACATGGGTACGTATAACTGACTCTGTATTGTTTGAATGCTTGGGCAAATTGTGTTATATACTCAGCATAGCCATTTCAGAGAACTGGATTCTTTGCTTTGAAAAGTAATTGATGCATGATATTTCTGCCAAAGAAATTAATGGCATTGATCTCTTTTTTCAGTGAAACAATGTCTAATAGAGTCATAGGTAGTGGTGACAAATACTCTCATTCCCGGCCAGGATTAATGTCCATGGATGTCACGTCATCTGCCAAATGCAGATCCTACTTGTCATTAGTCCAGAATCCCATTCCAGGATGTAAATGACAAAAAAGCAACACTTTGGACAGGATGCCAGTGCATAGCAAAAAGTATGACTGTGTGATCATAACGATGAAATGAGTGACTGTATAAAACTGACCCAGCACTTAGTGTTTTTTATTCTTTTCTCCCAAGTGTTCTAAAGGTGATTAACCTACTGAAATAATGTGGATAGTGAGTACGATACATAAACTATATAATATCCAAATCCTGTTTTAAAATATGAAATCAAACATTAAAATACATACCACTTTTATTGTAAAAATGTACTAAAGTAAAACAATAAAACATGGAAATGTCAGTTTACAGGAAATGTGGTAAATACTTTTCCCGTCAGTCAACTGTTGCAGCCATCCTTATGGCGTTTCGTGGGTGGCTCACACGGATTCTGCTTTAGGAACTCTCTCATCCTCTTCAGTGTCTCGCTGTATCTTGGGCTTGCCGCTTCTACCCATTTCTTAGCCTCTGGCTTCTTTCGGAATGCATACTTTGGAAAGTCGTCCATGCTCTTCCCAAAAACTTTGAAAAGGGTCTTCTCAAAACAGCTCTGCAGCTTGGCGATTTTGCTGGATTCCTGATAGGCAGAGTTGCAGTAAGGTATAGGTGAGGTAATCACCTTCATGCACCACAAACAAAACAAGAAAACAGGAGGAGAAGCCGATAAGGGCCCGAATGATCATACCTTTGAACTTTTTAGGATGCCAAACAGGAGCCGGACATCAGTCACAAACTGAGAGGGTGTGCGGTAAGGAGGTTTCAGTTCCCATGACAGACGGCCTTGTATGCTCATGATGCTGATGCTACGCGAGTAGCTAGATGTTGACTGAAATTGAAAAGAAGACACAAAATCCAGTTAATCACCCAGATCAGTGTACAGACAAACCATTCGACAATGGATGCTCTGCCGAGGCAAACCACACATCAAAAATTTCGCACCTCTCCTGGCTGGTACAGGGCCGAGCTGTATGTCTCACACAACAGCATAAGCAGCACATGTTCACATCTCTGCCAATGGGGGGGGGAGACAAGAGAGGAGAATGGTGAGCCAATCATAACAAGCTTCCTAGTTAACCTACTGCTATACAGAACTTCTCTGCTTAGATATACATAAATACTCTATAGACACACACACACCACACACAGTGTCGTCTAAGTCTCTAATCTCCACTACAGAGCAAAATGACTGGACACATCCTGTTAAAAAGCTTGGTGGGAGAGGGCATTCATGAATGGGAGTCTGCTCACACCTCCACAGAAAAATAAAAATCTATTACATAGGATTGAAACCGCATAGCATTTATTGTGTTCAGCTATAGTCAAGCATTTACATACTCTCAGCATCGACATTTACAGTGCTCACAGAAAGTCCTGGGATGTTACTCCATTCATTTGTTTACAAAACAAATAAAATCGCATGGGAAGCAACCAGAAGGGTTCAGCACTCAAGTAGTAATAAATTGAAACCCAAATCATAGTTCTAAAAGAGCTGTTCTGAGTTAAAAAGTTCACTGACAACCGGTCTCATCGGGTACTTTTTAATTAGTAACACCTTGACAACAAACATTTGTGTTACCGCAATTAATAGCAAAATGGCACGAACGACACTTATTGAAAAAATGTCTGTGTGGAAGATATGTGCACATTGCTTGTTAATGGACTTAACCTATGAAAGCAATACATTTGCAACATTTTTGCAGAATTAAGCAAGCATCCCAAAACTTTCAGCACTGCATGCCATGGCAATATTGCACTTTCAATGATTTATACGACTATTCTCTGCAACTAAATGAGTATTTACCATGCATCTTCAATGCAAAAAAGATAAAAAAATTTGAGCAAGTTTTAATATACTGTAGGTTTTTTGAAACCATCACAGCATCAGAATTATATGCCTGAATGTTTTCATTCCAACCCACACTGCATTCAACCTGCCACATTCATTACTAGCCTATTAAGGACCGTATAAGCCTGATGAAAGTAGGGTTCTGGCAGGGGGAGGCGCCAGGAACAGGATTGAGAACCACTGATTCACAAAATCAGGAGGAAGAAGAATGTGCTGGGTGTGAAATGGAGGCCAGTCTTAAAGCTAGGCTTACCCTCTGCTCCAGGAGGCTTAGAGATGGGTAGCCATCCACACTACTGCAGTACTGATCCCCCACATCCGAGAAGTCCCTGCACAGCATGCACTGCCAGTGGCTGCTGCTGGAGAATGACAGAGGAGCTAGTGAATAAGCTTAAGGTTCCATGAATGAAAGGACTGTCCAACGTATAGATGCTTACACTCAGTACAGCAACAACTCCAATACGACACAATACTTAAACTATATTTGGATTTCAGTGGTTGCCACAGTTAACCAAAAATTAGCTTCGATATCCGCTAATCCACAAACTATAGTTTAATTTGTTAATGCCGCTTCAGTTTGGTTTTTGGCTATGAAACCCTTAAAACATACCTAGAGCTAAAACTTTAGTATGTTGTAGCTTAGACAAAGACATTTCCAAATACATCGAGCATGCAAAACGATGATCAAAATTTTTACAATTAAATGAACAATTGAAACTACAAAATTACTTTACAGTCAACAATCAACATACAGTAAATCACAAAAAAACTGTTATGCTGGTGCATGATGGGATTCCAAGCGGACAATTCATAGTTGCTGCGGTCTGCATGGCTGCAATGCAGTTACACTTCTAGGGGGCTGCGCATCAGGCTCGACGTAGGATATGCGGCTGTGCCGTACCTACGGCATCGATTCCACGCAGAAGTATAAACTGGCCTTTAAGACTGTAAGGTCTTAACTCAGCTGAACTGCAGAGGTACACTACGCCGCTGAGCCGAGTCGACCAATCGCAGCTCGTGATTCCACAGTCACCCAACAGCATGCCAGACAGATGCATGCCTTCCCCTCGTTCTCAAAACTACTTAATATAATGGTGTTCTCTTCCCCAGATGCCAGACTGACACCAATACCAGTAGACCTATATTCTCGAATGAGTGACCCGTGCAGGTCTGCCCCGACCTGAGCACCTTACCTTGTTTCAGAGTTGACCGACGGGATGTGACACTTCCTGTGGAAGCTGTAGCTGCATACTGAACAAACGATTGCTGCCCCTGGGACGCGGCAAACGGCACAAAACCGCACCCAATCATTCACAGGAGGGGGAGGAGGGGCTCTCAGACAAGTGGACACAGTGACAGAATCCAGAGAGAGAGAAAACTGCAGGGGGAGACAGTAGTGGTGCAGTTTAGCGAAGGCTGAAGGAAAGTAGACAACCAGGTACAAGGTGAAGGGCACCTGACGCTGTCATTAAAAACACAATGATGAGCAGCCGGGGGCAGTAGATACCTGGCCCTTTTCCTCCATTATCTGCAGCAGGATCTCATTCTTTTTGGTGCCTGGGACAACATAGAAGCGGGGCAGAGGACGACCCGGAGGGGGGATGGGGATGGGGATTCGAGTCAAGGAGACACAAGGCAGCAAGCACCTACGAGGATTGAAGGAGACTTTTACACTCATGAACAGTGTAGATGCAACTGATTGGCGTTAATTCAGTTGATGGTGGCACTGGTGGCCATTAGACTGTATTACAGAATACATTGAAAAACCGAACACAGCAATGTATCAAAATAAAAGTCTGTTTTTAGGCCTGATATCTCCATTCACTGGACAGAAAACAGCCTAATTTATACCTGTCCACCGGCTCACTGTAAGCATGGATCCCTGTAAAGAAGTGATACAAAATAGAACAATCAATATATTAATCACGATTTTTTTGATTAAAGGTAAAACAAGTTTGGTTAGCACAGACAGCTGACACATACACTAGATAAATATGCAATACAAAAGTATTTTTGTACTATATGCCTGGCTGTACATTATGTACTGGTGTATGCATGAGAATTTCCCCCTGGTACCAACAAGGTTATTTTATTTAATTTTTATAGCCCCAAAGCAAAGCATTCCTCTCACTGGGAACACTGGCTAGAACAGCGCATTTCATACTTACTGCCACTATCCAGGTTGGTCTCCCCACTGTCATCCTCCCCCTACAGGACAGAGAAGGCAGTCAGATGCAAAAGAGCTATTCCCATGTAGGACACTCAACATCAAACCGTGTACCTCCATGATACACCTACCTCAAGCGGACACATGAAACTCTCGTCTTCTAATTTAACCTGGGTGGAGCTTGGGGGGGACCCTACTTTGGCGTCCTTCAAACTGGTGACTCCCTCAGACATCTTCTGTTGACCCAGCCCAGGACTTAAGGAGTCTGCCTGAGGGGAGGTCACCATGCGTCCTTCCGGAGCCTCTCGGAAACTTGAAGGCGACGTGGAGGGATCTGATGAAATTGTAAAGTTCTGGTTCGGCTTGCATTCTCCACTTACAGTTGGGCTAGGAATTTGGCCACAAGCAGAAGCTGTGATCTGAATCTGTCCATTTGCCTGGGAAAGGTGCTGACCTGTGGTAATGTCAGGCTCTGCAAGTACAGCGGAGCGGTTTGCTTCAGTTGCTTCTCCATCGACAGGCATGTTCACGCCTACTGAGCTCACGTCTGTAGTCAGTTCAGTGGTGCTTATCCCAGCTGTGGTATTAGCTACAGGCATATCAATGAGTGTAACAGTTGCCCTGTTACCACTATCTGTGGTCAGTTCCTGAGACGCTACAATTTTGTTTCTGCTTTCTGCAGTCATGATGGTAGGGTGTTCAATGAGCACAGCTGTCTCACTGTCTGCCCCAGTGACCGTGGCTGCTATAACTGCATTTCCAACACCCGTGTTATTGTCTGCAGTGACCATAGTTACTGTCCCAATGTCTGTGCTCATGGGTGCAGTGACCTGAGTAGCCAGTCTCTCATCTGTGCTAAAAGGTTGGCTGCTGGCTGTACCCTCAGTAACCGAATCCTCAGTGACCAAAGGCATGTCTGCCTCCATTACTGTGGAGGTCGGTTCGTTCTCAGAGGCCGGGAGAACTTGCTTGGCTTCTGGCGAGCCGACGGCTTTGGGCAGCCTCTCGCAGGGAGAATCTGCGAGCGCTTTCACAGATAGCGCACTGTAGGGGTCGCCTAGAGACAGCTTGAGGACGGTCTGAGCTGAGCCTACACAGATGGCTGGTGTGTCGGCAGACCTCAGACTCTGAGGTGTGGTGATCTGGCTAAATGCATGTGCGGCTTGATGCTTAGGTTGCGTTGCAGCTGCATGAAATGTCTTTCCCTTTTCAAGGTTGGCTTTTACATTTTGCACCAATCCAATTGCATGGGGAGCCATGGGTACCATGACATTGACAAGAGAGGTAAGAAGGAGTGGCATGGGTAACGTCCTGGACGTCAGCATTAAGGGGGAGGCCGGGGCCACACCACAGGGAGCCGCAGAGTTCCCAGTCACCTTGGCTGTGTCCAACTGCACCGAACAGAGAGACACCATAGGTGTTTTTGTCCAAGAGTGATGTGGAATAACGGAAGGAGGACAAGGGACGAGGTGAAAGGGAGAGACTAAAGGAGGATGGGAATGTGGTCCCACAACAGAAGGGGGTGTGCAGGTAGTAGTGACAGGGACATGGGAACGTTCAATACTTTGGTGGGCCAAAGGAACGAGGTGTAGATCTGGTTGAACAGAACATGGTTTGGGGGTATCAGGGTTCTGCCTGGGTGGCGCAAGTTCGGGCGCGGGCCAAAGTTCGCGTTTAGCTGCAGAGTTCCCAGTCACCTTGGCTGTGTCCAATTGCACCGAACAGAGAGACACCATAGGTGTTTTTGTCCAAGAGTGATGCGGAATAACGGAAGGAGGACAGGAGACGAGGGGAGAGACTAAAGGAGGATGGGAATGTGGTCCCACAACAGAAGGGGGTGTCCAGGTAGTAGTGACAGGGACATGGGAGCGTTCAATACTTTGGTGGGCCAAAGGAGCGAGGTGTAGATCTGGTTGAACAGAACATGGTTTGGGGGTATCAGGGCTCTGCCTGGGTGGCGCAAGTTCGGGCACAGGAACAGGTTCGGGGGCGAGGCGAGGTTCGGGAGCGGGGCGAGGTTCGGGAGCGGGGCGAGGTTCGGGAGCGGGGCGAGGTTCGCGTTCAGCTGCAGATTTCCCAGTCACCTTGGGTGTATCCAATTGCACTGAACAGAGAGACAGAGTAGGTGTTTTTGTCCAAGAGTGATGCGGTATAACGGAAGGAGGACAGGAGACGAGGGGAGAGACTAAAGGAGGATGGGAATGTGGTCCCACAACAGAAGGGGGTGTCCAGGTAGTAGTGACAGGGACATGGGAGCGTTCA